CTTAATAATTAGAATTGGGTTTGGGGTATATTAAAAATCTAATTAGAACAAGGAACCCCCCAAACCCTGTTCTAATGATTAAGGCCCCTACATTATGTTAGGTACAGACAGTCTTTTGGGCTACTCTTGCGTGCACTTGCGTGTAGACTGCACACTTCCTGAAGAGGCAAGGTTCTTAGTCACAAGTTCTAAGACCCTGAGCCACCCAATGAGCTTAAAGTCTAAAGCCTTAAACCCCAAAGCCCTAAACCTCCTAGAAGCCAGCAAAAAAGCGATCGGAATCGTTTCAGGAGCCCTATATCGAAACCTATAGAAGCCTAGTTGCAGGACTGTGATGAGGAGGAGCTGGGCTTACTGGCTTTTTCCTGACACCAGCTTCGACGTTTCACATAGAACACGTAGACTCGCATTTCTTGACTCGAAGAAAGGTTCATAAAGAGTTTATATGACAAACTCTAAGTCCGAAAACCTAAACCGCCTAAACCCCTAACCCTACATACCGTTTATATAGTATAGTTAGGGTTATCTGAACTAGGTAAGGCTGGTATGAAATTCCGGAAGTTTCACAGGTTCATATCCTACAAGCCACTTCGGGCTTTGGGTTTAGGGTTTGGGGTTCAGGGTTTAGGGGGTTTGGGTTCTATTACTTAGCTATTTGGCTCCCTGAGTGCAGCGCTGCTGGGAGAAACAGTCTGCACGACCCTCAACTCTTGCTTGAGGGTCAGGGGTTCACTTAACGGAAACTACAGGTGGGGAGTTTAGGGTATATAGGGCTTCTATAAGGCTTCCATAAGGTATATAGACCTTCTAATGGTAACTGCCCACCGGAAAATGTCCTAGATTCACTGGCCGGATTTGAAGTATGAGCATTTCGGGCTTATTGTGTCCCAAATTGAAAAGTATCCCTGCGGGCCCGCACTCGTATAGGCATTAAAGTATGAGGTGCTTGGGACCGGTACGGGACTGGGAGTGGCAGAAACAACACGGATTGTTTGATGGTTTGCCGTAGTGACTTAGTGTTTCCTGGAGGTGCAGGTAGCAGCAATGCGCATGCGCTTTGCAAAACTCCTATTGTAAATTTGAACCTGCAGACACTTATCGAGTCTGGCCTCGTTCCAGGTATCACGATTACGTCGGCAGCTACCTATTGCACCTGGAAAGCGGATGACAAGGACCATGGTGTGGGTTGCCAGAAAGTAACAAGACGCGCGCCCTCGTTGCTAGTGCCAGACCTTTGACACCCGAATCCTGGACCCCATGCATTCTGACACCATTTTGAGTAAGCCCTACTTTTAGGCCCAGGTGACGTAGTAAGTAGGCTATATTAAAATATATGTAGAGTTATAAGTACCTTAAATGGAGTTTCCCCATAATAACCACACTTGTAACCGACTTACGAAGTCCCCTGGGCCTCCAAGTAGTACGCCTTAAACCCTACACCCTAGACCCTAAACCCTAGACCCTAAGCCCCTTAAGCCCTAAACCCAAAACCCTAGGCCCTAAACCCCTTAAGCCCTAAGCCCAAAACCCTAGACCCTAAACCCCTTAAACCCTAGACCCAAGCAGCTGCAAGTCCCGAAGCCTCGTTGCTGCCAGTCTACCTTGAGGCCCGTAAGCAGTGGGATACTAATGAATACCCTACCTATCAATCACTCAACCTCTCTGTCTCTCTATCCCTCTCTCTATCCCTCTATCTATCTATCTATCTATCTATCTAGCTATCCATCTACCCATCTGTCCATCTATCCGTCTATCTATATGTGTATCTATCTATCTATCTGTCTATCTATCTATCTATCTATCTATCGATCTATTGATCTACCTATCTATCTAACGATCTACTAATCTACTTATCTACCTATCCACCTATCTATCTATCTATCTACCTACCTACCTGCCTACCTACCTATCTACCAATCTACTTATCTACTTATCCACCTATCTATCTATGTATCGATCAATCTAGCAATCTACCTATCTATCTGTCTATCTATCTATCTATCTATCTATCTATTTATCTACTATCTATCTATCCTTCTATCCATCCATCTATCCATCTGTCCATTTATCTACCTATCCATCTATCTATCTATCTATCTATCTTTCTATCTGCCTCTCTATCTACTCTCTTGCCAAACGGGAACATGCCGTCGTCAGAGGTTTTAAGAGCGGGAATCCCCCTGATGTGGAGTCCTTCGGGTCCCCTTAAAGTGTACAAAACGGTTCCTGGGTTCCTTAGTACCCCTTCAAGGGTCCTTTTTGAAGGGGTTTAGGATGGTTTAGGGTTTAGGGTTTAGGGCCCCCTTTAGAGGATACTATCAAAGGGTTCCTTGAAAAAAGGTTTCTTAGGGTCCCTTTCAAGTGCACTACCGTAGAAGCCCAAAAAGTTGGAAACCCAATAGCTTCAATCCTTAGGGGTAAGGTATAGGGAATCCCAGCATTAAGTGTCCTTGATCCGGTTTCCAACGTTTCTTGGGGGCTTCACTACATATCAGCATTCCACTAAAAGCTTAAACCCTAGACTTTAAACTCCTAAACCCCTAAACCCGTAAAACCTTAACGCCAAACCCTAAACCCCTAAACCCTAAACCCTTTAAACCCTAAACCCCCAAACCGCTAAACCCCGAAAACGCCAAACCCCTAAACCGGCCCTAAACCCTAAACCCTGGGTCCCCTTCAGGGCTGAAGGGTTTAGGGTTTAGGGTTTAGGGTTTAGGGTTTAGGGTTTAGGGTTGGCCACGAAGCCCGAAACCCACATTGGGTAGTTCTCTATAGGGTTTAGGGTTTAGGGTTTCCTGGGTCTCCAGGGTTTCTAGAACGGTACTATATGGGCAGTTCTCTAAATTCGGGTCCTTTTGTAGGTCCCCAATATATGCGACACCATTATGGAACAAGGGACCCCTTTATAGATAACCACCCGTGTGGAGAGCCGGATAATTGATTCATAGTTTAGGGATTAGAGGTGTAATATAATATGCCTGCACCTGTTTGGCTTTCAATTTCTATTCCAGCGATTCAGAGAGCAAGTAACAAGAACTCAAGGTAAACTTGAAGCAGTAGAATTTCCTGTTTCAGAACCTTTTTAAGTCCACTAGGTATGGAAACCCAAATTTTGGAAAGAAGTGTCCGCGTTGCAAGATTCCTCTGATCTATACACCCTTTAAAAACTACGCCTCGAAATCCCAAAAACCCTAAGCCCCAAAACCCAAAACCCTACACTTTTGAACCCCAACGCCCCACCTGGTGGGAGGATTTTCACATGAACCTCATCGATACTCCCGGCCACGTCGACTTCACCATCGAGGTTACGCTTTAGGCTTTAGGGGTTTGGGTTTAGGCGTTAGGTTTTGGGGTTTCAGAAGGGTCTACCCTAACCCTCCAGGTACCTACTATACAAGGCCCTAGGGGCTCTAGTACCCTATATGGTAGGTGCCCCGGGGGTTAGGGCTATTTACGAGTACTTTCGTGTAGGGGCTCTTCGCATTGCGCTGACATCCACGGAATGCAAAACATTGGTTCAGGGGTCCTCAACCTGACACCCCGAAGGTTGAACCCAAACTCTTGGTAGGCTTTCGAGCTCTATAAACGGCCCCACAGGCCCTGAAAACGTAGGTTCGCCTCAAGTTCACAGAGACATGCATACATACATATTATATACATGTGTATGTCCATCTATATATGTTGATACATACATATATTTATTTATTTTCTATTTGTCTTTATAGATCGAGTTATATAGATTTACAAAAAGACATGTATGCACAACACGCTAACATCTCGGATCCTTATGGACAAATCCTGACGTTTCGAAGGTGGAACGTGCTCTCCGCGTCCTGGATGGCGCGGTGATGATCTGCTGTGGCGTCGGGGGCGCCGCTTGGCGTTAGGTTTAGGGGCTGTTGGGTTTAGGGTTTAGGGTTTAGGGGCTGTTGGGTTTAGGGTTTAGGGTTTAGGGGCTTTTGGGTTAGGGTTTAGGGTGCAAGGGTGCTTGCAATAGGGTTCTATAGAAGGGCTTTGCAAGGAAACCCTATACTAAACCCTAACCTAAGTGGGGATTACAAAGCCTTTGGGTCTGTGCAGGGTGTATTTCAGGGTTACAAGAAGGCTCTATGAACGTGTTTAACGTAGGACCTAAAAAAATAACTGATACTGTTTGGGGGAGGTTCCTTATTATAGTTATAGTATGGGCCAAAATCCTATTCTAAGTATTAAATCCCCTACATTACGGGCTGGGAAGCTTTGGGATGGCAGCGTAAACCCGAAGCCCCCAACACACAGAATCCCCAAAGCCCAAACCCTAAACCCTAAACCCTAAACCCCTAAACGGGTTTAGGGCTTTTAGGGTTTAGGGCCCCCTAGCATGTATGCAAGGCTTCGGGTTCAGAAGGGTTTCGGGTTGCAGACGTTGAAGGCGTCGGATGTTAATTCAAGGTTTAGGGTTTAGGGTTTAGGGTTTAGGTCACTGAGCTTCAGAGAACAGGGGACCTGACATCAATTCTGTACTGTATGTATCACGATGGTAAGCCCTGCGGGTCCAACTACCCAAACCGTATGTGCAACCAGTGGCGCGAATGTAGGTTAGAAGGGAAGTCCTAGCTATAGCCCTCAGGCTCAAAATAGCCCCAAAGCCTTCCATAGTTTGGTTTTTGGGCCCGAAAGCCTTATAACATATGCGTCCTTAGAGCTGTAGGGTAGCAGTAGTTCAAAACGTTTCTGACGTTTCGGGCCCAAATCCTGCAAGCCCCACTGAGCCCCAAACCCTAAACCCTAAGCCGTAAGCCCTAAACCCTAAACCCTAAACCATAAACCCTAAGCCGTAAGCCCCAAACCCTAAACCCTAAGCCGTAAGCCCTATAGACCCCAAACCCCAACGCCTGGGCAAGTCGGAGTATGCGTCCGAACCTTCCAAGTCCTCGCTCCAAACCCCAAAGCTCCAACTTTGGCAACTTTGAGAGTTTAGGGTTTAGGATTTAGGGTGTAGGGTTTAGGGTTTAGGGGTTTGGGGTAAGGTTTTTGGGGTGTAGGGTTTAGGGGTTATAAGGGTTAGGGTAAGGTTTTTGGGGTGTAGGGTTTAGGGGTTTGGGGTAGGGTTTTGGGGGTTTTGGGTTTAGGGTAGAGTTGAGGGCTTAAAGGGTTTAGGGCGCTCTATCTAAGCCCTAAGTCCTGCGCTTTCCGAGTGAAACCTAAATGAGTAGAGCAAGAGACCTCTGTGCAACACCTTCCTAAATCCTAAGCCCTAAACCCTAAACCCTAAACCCTAAACTCTAAACCCTAAACCCTAAACCCTAAACCGTGCCGAGGTTCAAAGCCAGACGATCACCGTGGACCGGCAGATGAAGCGATATGAGGCGCTCCGCCCCGAGCCCTAG